AGATTCGTATCTACATAACCATCTCATATAAGATATTTTACATTTCTGAAGTTATTAACGTTTACGAAGCCAAAACATTAAGCACGAAGACGCAGAAATGATTTACCATATAATGCATAATTTTATATTTCCTATTCAAAGAATAGGAAAGATGGTAATTTTTTGTCCCTCGCCGTCTTCTCAGTTGGTTGCCAGTTGATCATTCGCTAATTGTATTTAATTAATCGTTTAGCAATGCATCCTGTTCTATATTCAGCATAATTTTTCTTTTAGACAGACAGATATATTAACGTAACTGTACATAAAGATATACGAGTCTTCCTGACTTTGGAAACAAGCCGGGTGGTGGCTGAAACGAAGCTGATAAAAAGTGTCGGGACTAGTATTTCAAAGCAATAATCCCACTTTCAGTCTGTTTAGAAACTTACTAAGATGGTTGTTTTTTTATTCAAGTATAAGGCGTTTACCACTTGTCTATGATGACCTCAGGCCGACTAACCGTAAGAATGAATAAATATCATTTTAAGAGCTTTCATAAGATTTTAAGAGCTTTCATGAGATTACCACAAGAATAAAGAATATTTCAATGATCGGGGCAGACGGTTTCGATATACAACGGTCATGTTACAGTTCAGCATTAATGACCTGGTCTGGTCCGTCGCTTCCAACCAAGGCGTTTTTTCCTGTCTGTATGTGAATTAACGCTTCTGTATGCAGGTTGAAGTTGAGGACTGTGACATTGTTAACTTGACTCGGGTATGGAAACGCATGGAGGACAAACAGTTAAATTAGGGTTTGGTCATGATTTATGAGTATATAGCCAGGTCACAGAAAATAATTGCGCTGGCCTTTTTGTTAACATGTTTGTTTTTGTAATTCAGTTAAGGCGATTACTTGTTGTCCAAAGTGGCCCTCAGGCCGACCCAACGTAAGAATGAAAAAGTTTTGTTTATCATCTACAGTTTCCGCATTGTTTATGAGACATTCACGAAATGAAAGGGTAATTAAATGATTAGAGCAGACGATTTTGATACGCAAAAGACATGTTTCAGTTTAGTATAAATGAATTAGTGTGGCCCGTCAGAGGCAACAAAGGCGTTGATACTGCAGCTATATGCAGGGTGCGAAGTGTACAGTGAGGAGTGTATAGTGAGGACTGTGCTGTGGCATTCAACTGCTTGCTTTGACTCGGGTACAAACGCATGGAGAAACATTAGTACTGTTGTCGGATCTTTTGACGTAATCAAGTCAAATTATTATAACTTTTAACAGACCGGTGGCAAAATCCATCCACCAAATATGACTTCATATGATACAGTTCATAAATGAATCAACAGAGAGTAAATTTCCACATAGCCACTTTTTTTCTGCTAAACTAGGCGCTGCTATAGGAGCAGACCTGGTGACAGAAAGGTAGGTATAGTAAATTTCACTCACAGGATCTTCAAATGCGGATTGCGCTCAAATAGGGTTGGAGGAAGGTCTTTCAGCTTGTTTTTGTTTAATCTCCTATTTAGCCAGAACAGTCAAGAAGATTAGCTGTTAACTTATCACAAGAAAATCAATGATCTAATGATAAAATCGTGACCTTATGCTCCCTGAACTTTTCCGTCCAGTCCGAAGTTCTCTTTTCTCTATGGGTTCAACGTCAGTATGAACCAAAAAGAAGTCTGTCAGGACCACGCCTACTTTTTTTGACCACATCATATCGATCGTGACATATTATGAATAAATGGTATGATATGTTTCTTTTTCCTTACATAACCACGACAACAATTTTTATTTAATCGCAACTGTCATGACGTTGGGAAACGTAATTTAACGTACAATTCTTGAAGATTGCCGAGGTTGGCAAGCAAGTCAGATGGTAGCTCCTCCAAATGGTTGTCACTCAGGTCTCTGTAAAATGCAATGGCATTTTCAACTGACGTGTACGAGGCAAAATACCCGCGATCAACTCTGAGTTTTTTTTTCCTCAGGTGATTAGCGTTTACAAGAAAAATTAATTTCATAGATATAAGAATGGATAAAGAGAAGAATTTCCTCTATTATGGTGATAGACGCTTTTCTCTTAATTAATCCATAAAAATAATCTATTCATCTTTTTATCATTGCTTCTTGGTTTATTTGGCAGCTGGTTGATTAGCTATTTAACTATTTTTAAGTATTTTTTACTTGATACATCATGTATTGTGTCTTCTCTTGTTAGTTCGCTTGTTGTCGTCCTTGTTTGTTTGTTTGTTTGTTTTGTGTCTTATTTGAATTTATTTGACTTAGATGAATAACTTTGTAATATACGCACAAGATTGTCGTTGTGGCTGGCAGTTTCCACGGAAATGATTTAAGTTGTTTTCCACCGCATGTAGCTTTCGTTGAATTTGTAGAACCAAACTCGCATTTACAGGGTTGTGGACAATCAATTGAGGTATTTGGTGCCAAATAATTGCCTCTTACGGTTTGAACAGCTGTTCAGTTAAATTTGCATACGAGATAAGTATTTCCAAAATAAGAAACAGAACTACGTACGGATGACTGATGATTACTAAGTATATTTGGCAGAGAGAGCTAAATTATTCCCCAATAATATTTACGAGAAGCAAATGTCATCGCTTACCTAATAAACAAATAAAAACCAACATGGTTTTCTTTGTGAGCACAGACATGACGGGAGAATCACCTGAAAGCACAAAAGACAATATCAGCGCTTGGGATCGAGCCAAGCAGGCATGGCATAAACAATCTGTGTGGAACGCATTTTCAGTCTTGTGGTCAGAGGGGAAATAAAATAAGCCGAGCTTGGAACAATTTAAAGAGCTGAATATAACGCAATCTTGAAAAGCAACAATAGGCGTATACTAAGGGACTAGTCCTTATCTGATGGTTCCTAGAGGAAACGGATGGGGAATCAGTCGTTCCCAACAGAGTATAAAAATAGAACTGTAGAAAATTGACAGCCGATTAACGTTTAATGAGGGGGACTCATGCGAATATGAAAATTACTATTTATCACCGGGGGGGTCAAGGGGGAGAGGGGGGGCGATAATCTGAGGGAATTACACGGTGGTCAGTAAAAACGGAGGGGGGAGGGGGGTCAGTCATCGCCAACAGAGTATATAGATAGAAATGTAGAAAACTGACAGCCAAGTAACTGCCAACGAATGGGGATCATAAGAATATGACGATGACAGTGAAATTTGTTGCTGAAGTCCGTCATCAGTCGTGCCTGGTCTGAAACAAGCTCAAAGAAAAGCATTTGAAGCCTTTTGAAGCAGTCTGTGTGACATTACACAAAGACCTACGATTCAAACGCACTATAAAAGTACTTGTGAACAACAAAAAACCGTCAGGTTTTGTTAAACATCCGTCTTTTGACAACCGGCCGAAAGTTAAAGGATGAAGTAAATTGTAGTACGATGCCATAATGATTACGTTGGACATGTTAAAAGCTGATCGCACAAACAACCATTGCCTCTTCAATTTCTGTTGAAAATCGTTATTTAGGTGTAATTTTCAAAATAAAAAACAAAAACAAATAAAACAGTAAGTATTATGGAGCATATTAATTTTTTTTAAAGCCTAACAACAACATAAAGTCAAAAACATATGGTGCGGTAACACTTACTACGACTTGATCACTGAAAAAACTATATCTGGCTGTAACTATATATTTTTTACCAATTGTTTTGAACTATTAAATGTACTTATTGCAATTCACAAATGGATGGATTCAATTCAATTATTTACCTGAACTACCCCATCGAGTCTCTTGTGTCTTGTAAGCCACAATATTGCACCGTTAAAGAGAGAATTGCTAAAATAACCTTATTTGAATACGTTTGCAATAAACTGCACGTGGATTTGCATGCATAATTACCGATAATTATGTGGTGGACGATACATAATTAACATCCCCGGGAACTGAAATTGTTTTGAAACTTCCAAACTTTTCATGAATTCATCTTTCTTTAAAAAACTGAACTGTTCATTCGACTTCTTGTCTCTACTTATAGCAAATATTTGTGCTTTTTCATCTCTTTTTCGTTCAATATGTTCACTGCCTGTCTAAACATGACGTTATTGTCATTGTTGGTTATTTAAAAACTAGCGATCTTTATCAAGAAAATTCAAATGAAACACGTAGGATGAAATATTTTTAATTCACAAAGAAATTGTGAATGGTAATACGACTGAAGCTGAGGAATACCATTCATTCAGAAATAGATATTGGTAAAGGGTGTATTTCCGAGGAAGTGAAAAGAGTGCGCATGCCCACAAGAAGCTAAAGCCTGGTACGTTGCGTTTCAATACATAAATTTCTCACCAACACAGATTTTTCTATGTTGCCGCATTTAACAAACCAGATCTCACAGACCGCCCAAAACTAATGTGGGGACTTTTTTTTTTTTAATACATATTTATGTCCTGATGCTTTGCCGTAGGTGAACTTTCCATTGCAAATCTAGCTCTTTTTAAATTATTTAGGCTAAAAAGGTGAATTTCACATACAGTTCATGTTTCTTTTCATGTTTCGTGTAACAGTTTGGTCATATCATGTAATATCTAAATTTTTCAAACTTCTCAGATTGAGCCTGGGCTGCCTGTGGTGTCAAACTTACCAAATACGTCAACATGTTCAGATCTTTTTAGAAGAATAAGACAACCATCAGCCCTGCATGTTACGATTCACGTACTTTTATTTATGGACAGGGAGCTGTTTATAACCGTTTACCTTAGGCACTCGGTGAATCATACACGAGGGCCAGATTACAGCTCTTTATAATAAACTAGCACAAACATATTTCATGCATTAAGTAATAATACGAATTATCACTGGATCAAACAATTCGTACCCTGATTCTACTAGTTTGATCAAAATGAAGGATCAATTTCTGTCGCTTGGCCTTGGAAGGTCTGTGTACGAGACTAATTCTGCCCTCGCCTCCACCCCCTCCCCCACCTTAGCCATTGAATAAGTCCGATATTTTTATTATTTTGAAGGTTTAACTGAATACTTTTCGAATGTCATTTATTGCGGAGTAGTTGGACGCCACACCACCAAAAATTCCAACAGCTATGAGTTCATACAAGAAAACCTTGATATGAAGAGGAATATTACGTTCAATTCTCAAATAAAACAAACAGGGAAATACAAAGGTCAATGCAGTTATTGTGGATCCTCCAATAAGAGACAGAATGGGACCAAACGTTGGGATGAGTTCGCCAATGCCAAGAATAAAACACATAATGGCGGTGCGAAGGGGGTACCGTTTGACACCAAATCCTGTTAGAAAAGAGGACCGAAAAATGACTTAAGGTAGAGTAAGTGTCTAACATTAAAACGTTGTGTGGATGGGGGGTTTTATGAAAGCAAGACGCCGATAAGTTTACACGAAAGAAGCAAGAAAAAAAAAGCGCTCGTATTTCGCCCCTAGATATATAAGCGTAGCTGTGGACCCTAGAGCTATCTTGATCACATTCCCTGTAAAATATTAGATTCTATGTTTTTTTTACGGAATAGGTAGACGTCCATCGCAACCCTTGCTTCCCGCTGAATTAATGAGATTAACCCTGGGTGTATTTAAACCAACCTTGAGGTATGCTCAAAAACTCCTCAAAAGACTGCGATACTGGGTTTATCACAATAACAAAACTTAACAGCAGGTGAAGTGTGATCAGTACAAGCATTATGTCTAACATAACAGCAGCCGCGTCATGTCCTTCGTATTTCACGCTCTCGAGAATGTTCGATGTGATGTTCTTGCCGTAAGCCACAAACCGAGGATTGACACAGGCAGATACATGCTTACGACACCAACCTACGCCCAGAACACAGAAATTGGAAACTTGGAGCATTTTTTCATGTCTGTCTGGATCGTTGGAAAGGTTGAAGCGCCACCAAATGAAAATAATATAGTTCCGAAAGCTAAAAGAAAAGGGGAAATTAAAAGAACTCAGCAGCATTGAGGAATGAATATAAGGTTCACTTTAGATAAAACCTACCATCCTCATTTTTCCTGCGAAATTTTAGCCACGCAGTGGATAGCTCTTACTGACGATTAAAATGTGAACATTTCGCGGCACATTCTAGTAAAAAAGTCATGTCATTTTTTTATTACACTGGATAATCTTGTAAGTCGACTTGGCCACACCGAGACCATTGGCAGCCTCTGTTCAGAAATGGATCACAGATGCAGTCAAAACGTGGTAAGAAAAAACAAAAGAGCACATGAAGCGCAGCCGGTTGTGTCACTGATGTTTTTACCACATTTTGACGTCTTCTGTGATATATTATTTTACAGACCCACAGCAACGTAGAATCGATTTTCTAATTGTAGAGATGACGAAAGGTTGTTAATAATGATGTCATCTATGCGTTTGTCTTCCAACAGAACATAAGTAGTACCAATAAAATGCTTGTATAATTCAGCTTATCGTATAATTTTATATGAGTAGCATATATAATTATATATGATAATAAGTCCACTTAGGAAAACACACCTGAAAAGAAACTCTCGAAGCTTACACTAGGTTGTTCAACAGTATTCAAATCAGACGGCATATCCAATGCGATGCACACGCAGATCATCAAACAAGCCATAGCTGTTGCTACACTAGCACTGACAGCGATCCCTCAGAAGTGCTTGGGCGTTCCCAGCCACGAGTATGGCAGCAGAACAGCAAAACAAATCACGAGCAAAATACGCAATTCGCCGGTTTTCCCAACATCAGCCACGTGCAGATTGACAAGATTTGCCAAGTTTCCTGCCGCCAGGATCAAAAACACTACACACACCCCTAATCATAATATCAAAACAGTAACGTCAGATAAAACCTAAACATCTCATTGTCCAAGCGTGGATGTTTGTTCCAGATGTAAACATTTTAGTTTCGGAGCCTTATCAAAGACATCGAGGTTGACCAATGTTTCTCATGGTATTGATGCGAAGCTATGTTTTGCTGCACGAGAGTTGAAAAAGAGGATTTAACTCATATTTACCTTTTGATTTACTACCCTTTACAAGTGATGGAACCCAGCATTTTTGCTCTCAGGAGAACGTAAGATAAGTGCCATAAGGCAGCACCACCTCCGTTTGAACCCCTTAAATCTAAAGATGTGACAGGCAATTTTCTTTCTCAGCTGTCACACATTTCTGTGCATAAAATTAGTTAAGAGGATTTAGTTTTTCGATCATATTCTCTAACCAATCAGCGAAAGTACTCCTATGTTTCAAGGAGATTTTTTCATGTCAAGAAAACACTCCTGAAAGTCAGAGGGAACTGTTTTGAGTAAGTGTGGAAGATTTCAGGCACGGAGAGAATAATGATGAAGGAAAGGATGGGGCGAAATATTAGCTATAGACTTAATACAATTGAAAGTAGAACTGTTATTTCTTTCCTTTGAGACTTGTAGTGCAGAATGAACCTCTTTCGCCAAAATGCAAACGCCGTATAGGGTTAGGGGGTGGGGAAGTAAAGGGATATTGACCGCGATGATATACCTAACATTTGCCCCACAAGACACTGGTATACCTTAAAATTGTAAGGAGTCACACGAAAATTTCCTCGGCCTGATTGTGACGCCGTGAAGGCACATCAGAACGATCTTTCGTAGCAGTCACCTGCATTTTAGTGAATGACACTGGATTCTCTAGAGATTATCAACCTGCTTATAAGTTGTCCTGTAGGGATGATGAGCACAAAAACGTCGGTGATTTCTCTTTCGCGCGGGATGCTTATGCAAATCAAGTCACAACCTCGGTCCTGGTCAGGGAGGAGAGGTCCTGGGAACGAAGCAAAGCGGAGTTCAAAATGGCTATTTGATTGCTAAACCTGAAATGAACTGTCTCACACGACTCTTTAAGTAAGTAACATATTTAGAAGTGGGAACCCAAAAGCAATTTTTAGAAAATTCACTTGGGGCATTAGACTCAAAAATAATCGAGCAAGCAGACGTCATCTTCGTGAATCACATCATGTAAAATAGAGTAAATACTCAAGGCCAAGGTGGAGGAAACACTTTAAAAAACTCACTGCCTCGCATGTATGTATTATAATAAAGCAATTATTGATTGATAACCCTGCAGCGAAGGATGATGCATGTGTTCAGTCCCTTGGAAGCGTCTCCTGTTGCTCCCTAAAAGTTTCCTGGCACCCGCTTCCGTGTTCAATTTCTAAATTTAAAAATCTCTAGTTAATCAATAAGCATTTCATTTCAATGTTATTTTCAGTACTGTATCGATCAGTGTGATGTTGATGCAGACAGTCACAGCCAATGATGCTCATCTTCCATAAGCATTTTCTCCGATTGCTGGGTACGGGGACCGTACGTGTCCGTTCTACTCGCTATGCCTCTTAAGAAGAGTCGCCCACGATCTCCCAAGAACCGTTCCACATGATAGACATGACAGCGTAACTTGTTTTCGTCACGCAATCTTAATAAATGACATGTATTTGACAAGTGCCTGATAAGTGCTTGAAATTAACACAATCTTTTCTGTTGACAGGAGAATGACTTTGACACAAGAGATTGGACTGAGAGATGTTTTGATACCATTGGAATGCGTAGTCCATTTGAACTCAGAGCTGAAGATCTCCCAGAGCAGCCAAACTACTTCACTTGTGTCTTCAGAAAAGACAAACTTGACAAGTACGTTTTCTTTGTTAACCATCAGGTTATGGTTTACAAATGGTTATGGTTAGCCGTGATGATTTCTTCAAAAGTGCTCAGCGAAGCAGAATTGTAAGTGATTCCTGTAACACAGGATGTTTACTTTGAACTCAACTTTATCATTACAACATTAAAAGTCTGATAGTTTTACAGTCATGTATGTCTTGTAGTACCTGCTATGGTAGGTCTTCTACTCACTGAACAATGACCAAATGTTATATTCATCCTTTGCCTGATTTATAAAATAGTATACTCAGGTAACACATCGATATATATCTCAGACAGAGATGGCAAAACAAATAGAAGTACAGTAAATATTGATGTTCAACTGATTGCAAGCACGTTCACAGAATTTTGACAAGAACACAGTATGGTGAGAAGAGGAATCAGATTGGTAAAAATGAAGCAATCTTAATCAAAACTATACTTTATGTGAATGACTAGCATTAAAAATTTGGGGCCCTTTACATTAGGAAGAGAAATATATTTTTGTCAGTCATTGAACAATAAGAATATTGCCACCTACAGGGAATTTAAAGGTACATGTCAGTTTTCTCTGATAGCAGCAAGACTCTTTGAAGTATTCTCTTTTGTATTACTTTTAATTATTGATGTCAGCTTATTAAACTGATTTTGCAGTATATCATGTATCACATTGTGTATGGTGTGATCAGAAACTTATACCTAACATAATGTAGGTGCATATCCTTGTCATTTATGCATCTTTGTAATATGATATTAGGCATTTGATGCTTAATTGGCAATGGATCTTACGCTGCAGCTTATCCCTTACACGAGGTAAAAAATTAATTGCAAGTTTTGTTTTGTTTTGTTTTTTTGTCTTCATTATAACAACTCCTTACTGTGAAACTTAAAAAGTGTCCAAGAAATTTACTATGGTATAATTTGATGGATCACTGCAATTTACAATGATTTCTCTTGGTTTAAAAAATGAGCAGTTCCTGAATGATAGTCCTTTAGAAGAGAATATCATAGGCTTTGAAACTTCTCAGAATTTAGAGTGACTGAAAACAGAGACTTGAAGGGCAGTGGTGAACAAATTTAAGGGCCCTCATATTTGCACATGATTATTAAGTTGAAGGCCCAAGAAGGCTGACATACAGTTATATCATACAAAACTTAAAATTAAAAACCTTGTCTCCTGTCAGGAATTAAAGGGACATGAAAAAGCCAAACAAAGCTATATAGGTCATGGTTCATTTTTTGTAAGTGCACTCCATCTGGTTGAATGATCCCATGCAAGGGACTGGCCAGAGGAAAAGGTAACATACTGCATCAGTTTTCTCAGAGTGATTTGGAGTCTAATAATGATATTTTCCTTGAATCAACAATTATGTCAGGTTGCTTGAACAGGATTCAGCCAAATTTTGGCAAAGTTAGCCAACTGTGTTTTCTTGTCATTTATTTCAGAAAGTACAGTAAGGCATTCTCGTCAGATCAAAATTTTAGAATGAAAATTTTATACAAAGAAGGAATAACATCAAACAACTACATGTCCATAGGTTTAGTCAAGTGAGAGTTGGACAATGGATGTCTTGATCCAGGGAACATTAAGCTTGTTGTACATGGGGAGCTATTCAGATTGATACATGTACATTGTACATGTATATAATAGTAATAGGACTAAGAGGAGTCCAATTCAGGCTGTAATTATACAAGTGATTAACAAAATCGGATGATTGCACTGTGAAGGCATCTGTTGTACCTTTTCATCTAAAAAAAAACAACAGTTAAAGGGGCAAAATGTGAGACAACAGTATGCACATGTGACACCTTCTGTGCACTTACACAGGCATGGTGTGTTAATTGCCCTATTACACTGTCCAATTACAAGCATGATGTGTACACTGTCCTATTAGTGCTCAAACTGAGCTGGAGAACTCAAGAATTTTGTTATAGTTTTGATCAATGAAACCAGAGATTTTGAATAGCAACAAAGCATAATTGTACTTCAGGCCAATTTTCAGGGTATGCTTTTTGCTCATGACCATCAAAATAATTCAATCAGACTTGAACACAACATGTACGAAAAATCATGTTGTCTTAATCATATCTAGGACAACTGTGTGGTTGTCAGTTGCTCATAACACACACAAAAGTAATTTTTTAGCATTTTGAAACATGTTCTTTTACCTTTAGGTGTTGATGTTACAAATTAAAGAGTTGCATTTGATTTTTTTTTTACTGGAGAGAGGTAAAAGAGATGGATTTGGAGCACACTGTAATTTATAATTACTTTATCAGGGAATTTGACATAATGCAAAAATTACCACAATAATGCATGGAATAACTTGATACAGTACCATCATTTTTGTATTTTACAAAGGTTGATGTAGGGCACTTATGAAAAAGATCAATCCAATGATCCTCCAAGACCTGAAAATGCCAGACAGGTAATTTTTTTACTATTATTTTTAAATTGATAGACCTCGTAAGGTTAATTAGTTTTGTGTATGTTGTTTCCTGTTAAGTTTACAGTGTACATTGTGTATGTACAATTAACTTGGACCTAATAAACTCCTAAACAAATCTATGGTATGCAGTCATTTCGTACCCATAGTTGTTTTGTACTCATTCATTTTATACTCAAGCTGGGTACAAAATGACTCAACTAACTGGATATGACATGACTGTGGGTGTGAAACGATCGGTAACCCAATCTATGCCATCCTATTACCATCTCTTCAACTTACACTTCATCGGTTTTGTAAACTTCTTTCAAAGCTGATTTGTCATTCAAGCTACAGTACATGTAACCTTTTTTTTCAAAGATGTAAACATCAATTCTCCATCCAGTCTACCATACAGCTTTTACAGTTTATATAATCAAACAATACTTTGTCCCCTGAAGTTTTTCTTTCTTCTTATCACATTCCTGCTTTAGATGTTTTAAGGTAAATTCCTATTTTGTAGGAACTTGTAAGAGGAAAATTAGAGTCGAACAAGTCAAATCACCAAAGAAAACTTTGTTTGTTTTTTCATTGAATTTTCTCCTTCCCAAATATTTTTACTTCTACCCCTACTCTTGATATTCTTCTCAAGCTTGTGTTCAGATATATCAGACTGGAAACTTTTGATAGCTTTTCTCAATATTTTCTTTTAAGTGCAGTTATAAATTTTTATATTGCATTGTTTTTTCCAGTTTTTCAGTTGGTAATGATAGTTTTATTTGTGGGTTATTGCTATTTCAGTTGTTGTTTGACACCTGGGTTAAAGCACATCGCTGGTACAAAATGCAACCATTGGATCATATCAGGTAAAATCACTTACACAAGACTGTTTAACTCAAGGTGTGTGTGTCATTTTTTGTTGTTAATAATTGTTTTGGTTGATTATTCATTAATTTTGTTGCAGAGATTACTTTGGAGAGAAAATTGGAATCTACTTTGCTTGGTTAGGTAAATATAATTAATGACTTCAAATTTCATGTGCACTCTGATTGAAGTAAGTTATTGTTTCAGCTGTTTAATCATGGCTGCATATAATTTTTATTTTTTGGAAGAACACATATTAAAGGCTATGACTGTATTCTAGTCAGCCAATGAGACTCAAGGACATTGCACAATGCATGAAGTTTGGATGTCAATGAGGAAAACAGTGTCATCAAACAAATGTTACTCTCTTGGCTGTTTGACAGGTTTCTACACATGGATGTTGCTCCCAGCAGCCATCATGGGCCTTGTTTGTGTGATTTATGGACTTGTCAGACTGGAGTCTTATATTCCTGTGTAAGTGATGAGTTTGGCAAGGCCTATATGTGCATTCTATCATATGCAAAGGCCTTATATTCATATCAGCCGTGAAATGGGCTCATTGAGGACTGGGAATCTTAAAGTATTATTTAAAGTTGTCGTGAAATGGAACAAAAGAAAAATATACTTGGTGATACATTCACATGACTGTGCTATTTTACATAACTTTCACTATAATGTTCATCCAGTGTTTACTATTACTGCCAGTGGTAAGCGTTAACAGTATTGCAATCACTGGTTTTATACTGAAAAAACGCAAGTCAGAGAACCAACTTTTTTTTATTTTTGTGTAAAGGTGGCTTTCAGACAAGTAAAACCAACTGTATGTATGTATCTTTTGCTTTAGGAAAGACATCTGTGATACGTCTAAGAACTTTCCCATGTGCCCTCGCTGTGACAAACGCTGTCCCTACTGGTCTTTATCGGACACATGCATCTATTCAAAGGTGACTTAAAGAACATTTTCACCTCTTACTTCAAGTTCCTTCCTTTCTTCTTCCTCGACTTCTTTGCTAAACTTTTTTAAAGGTCGCTATTTGGCGACTTAACCAAATTTGTCATTCTCTTCACAGTCAACCATACAATTCTTATATTGTTTGTTCAGAGAATTTAGTATTGGAACAACTAGTTATCCCCAAATTGATATTTTTCTTTATTATTATCACTTATCTGGTTGATATTATATTGATATTGTAAGGAAAAATTCTGTCTTGGTCACTCATGGGAGTTAAAGGGTTAAAATCACGAAATGTTTGCCAGAAATGGAGAAAGAAAAGAAGAAAGCAGAGAAAGAAATTTTGTGCAACATTGAACTTAAGCACCACAGTTTCTTCCTGCTGACCATGATGACTAAATGACCGCAGTGTGAGGCCTTGTGTCCCATTAATAATTGATGTAGCCCCTTGTTAAAGGGGCTACACGTAGCATAAACCATGAATTTGGAGACAATTCATAATAATTAACACATTATTTTGCTGGGAAATATTCATCTTTGTAGTTCGTTTTTCAGAAGTTATCTATCTAGTTTTATCGTCTACATGTACTAATGCCCTCTTTGATTCTCTTCAGGTGGCTTATGTTTTTGACAATGAGTTTACTGTGGTTTTTGCCATTTTTATGTCGATTTGGGGTGAGACCTTTTTTTATTTTTAAGAATAATTGCTTGTGTAGTAAACTGTGTCAGACCCCGAGGCTCTATTGTTGACAGCTGTACAAATCATAAATGGCTAGCACGTGGAACCTTAAGTCTAAATGTTTAAGCCCTGGTGTGGTCATTATATTGAGTTGTTGGGCGAGATGATTCACTCTGAGAATGCTTCTCTCCATCCGGGCGTATATACATATTGGCAACGCTGAATAGTCAAAGAAACTTGACAGAATGTTTGGGCAACTTGTACTGAACCATCCCGTTCAAGAGTTGAAAAAATAGCTAATGGATTGATTACCGAACATTTCATAAATAGGATCATTTTGTCTGTGACTTTCACAGAAAGGAAACTTTGATTTTCTTTCAGGGTCGTAATGTTAATGCAATACTTTGCTGATGATCATGTGTGTATTTGTTACACAGCCATCATGTTTCTTGAGTTTTGGAAGAGGCGGCAGGCAGAGATTGCTTACGAATGGGATCTATTGGGATATGAGGACGAAGAGGTACGATATTAATTAATCAATCAATGTATTTATTTATGACTTCTGTTAATTATTTGTAAGAAGGCAAAGATTAGGCTTGCCAAGGTAAGCTTATGCCGTTTAGGATTTATCCAGGAACAAAAAACCACACTACTTACTTCTCCGTGTCGATTTTTCTTTCGTTTTGTGAATGGTGCTTTAAATGTAAACGTTTTTGTTGATCTTGTTGCATGTTATAAGCAATTAATATTAATCTCACGAATCTCTGAACTGTGTTCGTTTGAACTCAAGGTACAGTTTATTACTTAAAAAGACTCGCAAAAACTTGACCGTCAATCCTGTTCAGTGTGTTTTTCATTTGACCATCTTTCCATAAATGTACAAGCTCCAATTCATTATTCTGTTTTAGGAACAACCTCGTCCCGAGTACGAGGCAGTAGCGATGGAGACCCGTTTGAACCCCATCACGAAAGTGGAAGAGCCTTTCATATCGCTTGGGAGGAAAGTGCCCAGATTTATTTGTAGTTTCAGTTTCATCATCTTCATGGTAAGAACTGGATAATGTTTAATAAGGCTCAATGTGATTTTGGCCAGGTTTAAACCGAGATAATGCAGCAGTTTCACCAGAGCCTCCCAAGGGCATTGATGTGCATTACTACCTTACTGCTTTGTTTCCTTCCTTCCTTCCCTCTTTCCCTCGCCCCCTCCCTCTTTTGGGTGAGTGTCCATTCCGCGCACCGGTTTGTTGGTGTTGCGTTGACAGGTGCCTGGAGGTTGGCTGCGGCTTGATTGCTGGGAGATTGCTTCCCTCCTATGGTGTCAACTGTTCGCATCCACCCACCCACCCACCCACCACCTTGATACTATTGGGCATTGCTACTTGGACGAGGCGAAACGCTCATATTACTGCAACAATTAAACCTTTTCAAATCTAGATTTACCTGAATTCTGTAGCCCCGGCGTCTTTTGCAAGCTAGTTATAACCGACAGAAAAACTGACTTTTGGTCACCGGTATGGCTCGTAGTGTTTTAAAAGAGGATAAGAGGTGCAACAGCGAAGTTCTGAATTTTGATCTATAGTATTATGGTCTTTGTATCGCAGCTGGCGCTTGTCGTCATCGCCGTGTTTGCTGTTGTAGTATACCGTGTTGCAGTATACGCGGTGTTAGCCGCAAGCAGCGACTACAACATGGGAGCTGTAAACATGGCCACGTCCGGCACTGCAGCTCTCCTAAATCTCATTACCATCATGCTCCTCAACAAGGTACCCGCATAAACTTATCTTTTTCTATGGAGACGGTACACAACTAGTAAACATCTTGAGGTAAATTTTTGTTGTCTGCCCTCTCATGTAGATGTTCGTTTGCGACTGTTACACAGCAATGGTTCCTACTTGAATGTGTAGATATTAGTTAACCCTTTAACTCCCAGAAGTGATGAACATGTAACCTCTCAATCAGACCTTGGGAGTTAGAGGATTAACAGTAGAAGTTCAGCGGATGGTTTTATACCTTGGAGTAACAACTGATCATTTAGTGTGATCCTCTGGTGACTTCTTTTTGTTAATTACATTATTTTATCTCCAGGTTTACGAAAAACTTGCTGAGATTTTGACACGATGGGGTACGTGTGTAGAAAATGAATTCAGTGAACTTCATTCATGCTTTAAGCTATTAACCACTTTACTGATATTGAATCATCAGTGCATCCGATCTTTCAACTGACCTTAACCGTACTACTGTACTCGTGCACGTTGTGGTCATTACACATTACATAAGAATTTTTAAATTTAAAATTAGTAGCCGAATCCTTCCGTACCTCTAAACTGCATTGGCATGCGGCGTCGAAAGCTAACAAAGTAGGAGGCAATGAGGATAGGGTTAAATTCATCATCTGTTTTTATTTCAGAGATGCCTCGCACCCAGACGGAGCTTGAAGACATCTTTTCATTTAAGATGTACCTTTTCCAGTTTGTGAACTTCTATTCGTCACTCTTTTTATATTGCGTTTTTTTTAAACTCAGGTGAGTTTATGTCATGAGTAATCTAATAGCAACAATGGGAAAAAAGTTACTTAGAGTTCTCCTAAGAAAGAAAACTCAAAATCGTAGACATTTTCGATTGTCTGGGATGACTGACGACAAATCGGTTAAATCGAGAGCGCTTTTTTTTTACTGACGCAACCCAGATTTTTGCGATGATCCGCGATTACTGAAGGTTAATGAAAACTCCTATTTTGAACTGTCGTTAGTTTTAATTTGCTACCATTCCTTGGCTTCTGTAGCCTCGAGTCCCAAATGAAGTGGTGTCTGTTCTATTTTTCGCCAACCATCTGACAATCGGAATGTCTACGATTTCAAGTTTCATTAATTAGAAAACTCTGGAATCATCGAGAAATATTGAAATCACCGACTATCCGGGATTTTTCCCGCCAGCCTTAAGTGTCATTGTTTTTCTCACGATTTAGGCTCTTCGAATGACATGCAGATCGTGATCTTCCCTCACCCATTTGCTGTTGCACGGTTCTGCTGTTGTCTTGTTTCTTTGTGATGCTGTGTTGTGATACTGACGATCAAAACAACAACAGGAGAGCCGTGTTACAGCGAATCTTCGAAACGCGCTAAGCTGTTGAGAAACAGCCCACCAAATAAAAAGGTGACATCTTCAGAAAAATAGTTTTCACAAAATTACCAGTAGGAACTTTTATCTATTTACATAGAAGCGTTAAACACATTAAAAATTGTTTGGCATCACAGCGGTAGAATGAACGTATTGAATCATATTTTGAGAATATTTTCAACTGACAATTATAAGTTATCTGTTTAGGGTGAGACAGATTTTTTATGCATAATTTTAAAAATGGTAATGAACAGACCTACGGGGACAACAATTTTCGTCCCTCTGGAAGAAAGAACTGCGCTGACAAAAAAAAATTTTTGTTTTCAGCCCTGGAAGGCCAGCAGAATTTAACAGGATATTTGGTTTTCGACAAGAAGAGGTAAGAAAAAGTATTCGATGTGTTAAGTTTTTTTTTTGTGACAGTTTAGGTATTTAAAGCTGCATTGGGTTAATCAGACGGTACTGTCGTCAAAAATTTGCGAGAAAAGGAAGGAAAGATCGTCTTTAGACATTGTTTGTAATTGAAGTAAATAATGTTTTTCGCCTTTGGTCCCATTAGTTGGACCAGTTTAAAAAGGACGCGTTTGATTAGAATTTATATCGTAAGGATGTATGTGTTGTTCGTTAAATTTGACAATGCAAGGTTTGCCGACTTTGAAATAGTTGCTTTAACAATTTGAATCTTATTTTTGACTTTTTTTACCTCCTTTGGACAATATTAGTTCATTTCAATCAGAAAATAGAAAGTAAAATAAGGCATAAAAGTAACTGAAAATATCTTTCAAACATAGAGCAGTTGTAAAGGAGAATTCTGAGTTCATTTTCATGTTGTTCTGGCAGTGTAATCCGGCAGGTTGTTTATTTGAGCTCCTGGTCCAGCTGGCAGTTATCATGGTTGGAAAGCAGATCTTCAATAATTTTATTGAAATAATCGTCCCGTAAGTAGCCCGTAAAGAGATGAGGTACATTTTAACGTTCCCGCTTTTGAGACTTCGTTGGACTTAAGGCAGGTTTTAGAAAATAACACATTTATGGACATTTACGTATTCTAATGTAATAACAGTTTACTGTTAACTAGGAGTATTTACGTTCTGCTCGATATACTTGGACTGTTTTGCAATACGACATACATAAAGGTGTAATAGCTTATTGGAGAAGCACATTTATAGCGTAAGTGAAACACAGGTAAAGTAATCAGAAAACCGGAATCGCTGAAAAAAAAAATCAGGGAATGTATTTGTATAGGTAATCACATGATTTCGAGTGCAATTTGGAATAAATAAGCACGAGTAAATTTTTTCAAAGACTAACAAAATTGCACGAGCCCGTAGGGCGAGTGCAATTTGTGGTCTTTGAAAAAATTAACAAGTGCTTATTTATTCCAAATTGCACGAGAAAAATCATGGGATTACGTGTTAATAATTGACATGAAAAAATACGAGATGGCTTATCATAATTAAGCAGAAGCAAAGCGCGCGCATCACGAGCAAAAATAATTTATTCAAACCGTGCGTTCGGTCAAAACAACAATGTACGATCAAAACAATAATATGCGATGATATCTTCACATCTTTAAGGCGCAAAAAAGTTCAAAGTCCGGCTAAACAGTTCAAGGAATTGTTCAGTCTGTGTCCGAATCACTTTCGATGAAATGGAATCGTCGTTTTCGAGGTTTAACCATGTTTGTTTTTAATTTCGGCGTTGGATCGCTCGAGCAAAGTGTTAAGCTAGGTCGGCTTGTAATTTTTTATTTCCTTGGCAATTCCCTTCTCTAAAAACCACTTTTTCCAGACCGAAACCAAAACAGTGCTTTTTACAGTGTTTTGGTTGTCTGAGCTGTTTTCAGCTGCGGTGGCGAAAGAAAACCTACTTAAAAAGCAGGCTATTGTTTCGCTCGCAAATTTTCAAATTTTCAAATTTTGTTGCGACATCGAAGGCTCTCATTTGACTGGCTATCTATGAGTTTCTTTGATTATTGACCAATCAGAATGTTTGATTTGTTACTTTATTTGCACTGAATTAACCCTCTTCTGCACTGAATTAACTCTCTTCTGCACTGAATTACCTGAAAACTGCATTTATCTTGTCCAATCAGAACTGAGAAATTTTTCCATGTATATTATTATTGTGGGAACATGCTCCAAACACATTTTACAGTGAAATAATACTTTTAATTGTTTAGTCCTGTAAAACAGTATTTCACAGGCCAAGTCACTCATTCTGCGAACGTTTTGGATTAATAATATTTTGACTCAAATTTCAAATGAGTGGGATGATCATTTGGGTAAGCACTCCTATTTTTTCATCATCATCATCATCACCACCACCACCACCACCACCACCACCATCATCATCATCATCATCATCATCATCATCATCTTCATTATTATTATTATTATTATTATTATTGCTGTAGTTGATATCGTCACCATTATTATTATTATTATTATTATTATTATTATCACTATGGTCTCTTTTATTCCTGAAAATAGAGGATATTACATGGCCGCGCGAAGATAATTAATTCTGTTCGAGTGTTGGGAAACATTTCACGAGTGAGCGAAACGAACGAGAGAAATATTTTTCAACGCGTGAAGAGAAATTTCGTAGCTCCAAGCGGCCTTGTAATAGTATAATCATAGTATCGGTATTGTTTCCACGTGTAAAGAGAAACATGTTATCTTCACGTATGAAGATATCATGTTTTCGCGCGAAAACTCACTTGGTATTTGACTGAGGTTTATATTATTATTATAATTATTTTCCACAGAAAGCTTCAGAACTGGTGGAGACGCCGTCAGAATATTGAAACCCCCGACTTGACCGAATACACACGTTGGGAACTGGACTATGACTTGACTCAGTATCCCGTGCACGGGTTGTTTTATGAATACCTTGAGATGGGTAAGAACTGCGCAGCTTGTACGGTTGAGCGAAGGAGATGGTTGAGATTTTACCGGTTATAAACTCTGTTTGTTTTTTTTTTTGTTTTTGTTTTTTTTTTTTTTGTTTTTCCAGTGATCCAGTATGGCTTTGTGACACTATTTGTGGCCGCCTTCCCACTTGGACCGTTCTTTTGCCCTCATCAATAACTTGTTGGAAATTCGTCTTGATGCTTACAAGTTTATCGTGGTTTTCAGCGCCCAATGGCAGCTCGTGCGCAGGATATAGGTATGCGTTATATGAAGAGAGGGGCGATTATTTTTGTTGGTCTTAAACATTTTTATTAATTGAAATTCTATTTAGGAACTACCGAATAGAACACTTGAAAAAAAAAAAACCTTTTGTTTTCACAGGAATTTGGTACGCAATCTTGAAAGGCGTTACGAAGATCTCTGTGGTCGTAAATGTAAGAATCTATTTAACAAAGTTGTGCGTTTTTTGAATATTATTTCTTTAAGGATTGAAAAACGGAAAATAAACAGAGAAAAATTACTTGGGCGACAGATTCAGTTACAAACACAGTTGTTTTTTTTTTCCCCAATTTTATCGAATAAAGAAAAAAATTAATGAGACAGTTTTTCCCATGTTCGAGCAAAAAAGGTTGGTCCTGACTTAAATCAAATAACAATAATATAGTCAAATTTGGTCACCTGGTGGTAGTTATTGACCTGTAAGAGCTAAAATGAAGGATTTCCTAATAGGATGAGATATTTCATTGCTTTGGTAACTTGCAAATTCAAGCGGACAGACAATGATTTAGCATGTTCTACAAGGACCGCTCATTTTGCTTGAAAACAGTTTGTATTCAAAAGAACTTGAGCAGTAGTATTGCCTCATTAATCGTACGTGCTGCATGCTGCGGTTCGAGTCACTTTAGTTGAAGGAAGCATACTTGAATAATTTGAATCAGCGATTTAAAGAGCAGAATACAGCAGAGAGTTATCTCTTTGTTCTACCTGTTGTCAAAGGTGAAAAACATGTCGTACTCGGCGTTTTGATTTAAAACCAAAGAGAACTTATTGTAAGGAAAGCCACAATGTATAATCACGGTAACTTGTTTTTTCTTACCCTTTTTGTTAGGGCTTTGTGATTGCCTTTGTTTCCGAATTCGTCCCCAGACTGTATTACACCCTAGGTGAACACAACGACAGCTTGGAAGGATTTGTAAACCACACCTTGTCGTGTTTTGCGGTGGATGATTTTCCTGAGTCTGAGAGACCTTCTGGAGCTGCTGCTGTTGAGTTCCCCCTAAGAATTAACAGTTGTGGGTTTAATTTATCTACCTACAGGTAAAATAACAAGGAGGGTTCTGTTTTATGGTTTAGTTCTTGCAGAAAAAAGAATCGCCTTTACTGATTAGTGTACTGATTCATTAATTTGTCAAAGCTTGCTGGACGCTTGGTGACACTATTGTAAGAATCATAAGTCATCCATTATAACTCAAGTTTTAAAGGTCTTGTGTGCTTGCATTTTAGATTCCGAGGGTATTATGAACGACCAAAAATTACAATACTCAACACGACCCTTCCAAATCCGAATGCTTACAAGTTCTCGACAGCCTATTGGCATATTTTGGCGGCCAAGCTGTTTTTTGTAGTTGCCTTTCTGGTGAGTTTGTGTCCACTTTTAATTGTGGGACGCTCGTTATGATGCACCTGATGGGATACTGAGAATCGGAGTATTTTCCTACAAATAGAATTGTTGGTGGAGATTACTGCAGTAATGTTGTAAAAAGAAGATTCCACCCTATCTGTGTTCCTCTCTGTTTCCTAGTTGATCTTTGTAGCAGTTCTGTGAAACATTTAAAATTCACCAACCAAAAAAAAAAAACGGTTCAGTTGAAGAAACCTACCTACCATCTAATATTTCTTCTTGTGTTTGGCTGATAGTCTTATTAATTTGTTATTTTGTGCAGCACATCGTGTTCGGTATGACGGCAATCTTGGCTTGGATTATCCCCGATGTTCCGAAGGAAGTTGACAATCAAGTCAAGAGAGAGAACTTTCTTGCCCGCGAAGCCTTACGGTCAGCAGATCAACAAGATTCTGTCTCTCCAGTCCCTAGGGAAAATTCGCGTGGCCAGGATGAAATGTTGTGAAATGTTGTAGAATGTCGTGTTTTGACAGAAATTATCTCGTAGTCAACGACCTGTAACTGATATCGGTATAGGTAGTTAAATTTGATAATACCACCGTCGCATATTTTGAATAATTTCTTGTTGGAAACGTAAGGCAAAATTCGAAAATCTTCACCAAAAGCCAGTGCTTGTCACAAGCTGCGTGTCATAGCTCGCTGACCCATACGATTGATAGTCTTCATTTATAAACTCAGTTTAATCTTTCGAATAGCGAAAGGTCAGTACATGTCTGTTTTATATAGAATAAAGGGTGTACGTTTTACGTCGGTGGGAGAGTATAGCAGGTAATTTAGTGTTAACAACTGAGTTGAAAACGTAAATTGGCCACCGTAAAGAGTAAAAAAGCTGACATTGCGAGCGTTAGTCCTTCGTCAGAGCGATGGCGAAGGGCTAACGCTCGAAACGTTCTGACGATCTGACTGAAGGGCTAACGCTCGAAACGTCAGCTTTTTTACTCTTTACGGTGGCCAATTTACGTTTTCAACTCAGTTGTTAACACAAAATTACCTGTTTTACATAGATCAGCTTTCTACTTAAATAGTGTAAAACTTTATAGTAAGACTAACACCGTACAAGATTAATAATTTGTATTCATAGTTGGTTTGTGTGGTGACTTAATATGCGAGTAAGGTAACGTGAAATTGCCGTAGGGAACGAACTACTTTTCTTTTGATTCTCAGGTTCGTTTCTTTAGCCTCAACTGAAAGACCTCGAGAATTTAGGACACTTGCTAATACAAAGCTTTTCTATTCCTTCATTACTTATCACACCTTATGTTTACCGGCATTGAGTGGCTTTAAGAGAATATCAGGTATTTTGGTTGCTTGGGATACAATATTTATTTTTCCAGTGAAGCCATCCAAATACGTTGATGCCGTGCTAAGGTAAAGGAGTAAGGATAGATCCATCCCGGACTTGTTTGTAACAGTAATCAAAATAAACTGTTAGGCAATACAGACTTTGTAACAGTAGTCAAAATAAACTGCTAGGCAATACAGACTTTGTAACAGTAATCAAAATAAACTGCTATGCAATACAGACGCCTGCGCGTAAAATTTTGTCTAAGTTTTCCTTTGATTTTCGTTTGTTTGATGCCTGAACTAGGGCCAGACGTTAGCGTTATTGATATGCGAAATCTAGTGAGGGTCATATCAATTCTCCTGTAGAGCGGCTAAGTAAAACTAAGTTCCTTGGATTCGTCGATAAAACTAGGAGAAAATGAAAATTAAAGGGTGTATGAGCTGTAGGCGGCTAGTAATGGAGGGATTAATCAACTAAAAAAACTTAAAGGGTTGTCTCGGGGAGGAGTTTCTTAAGAACTCCGTGGGTTGTCTTGATCTTAAGGTGGGCAGGGGGGGTCAATGGAAATAGCAAAGCAGCTTTGCACTTTCGTCTCATCAATGTACTTCTGATTTAGTAGGATACGCTGGTTAATTCTCAGTACACCTTTTTTTTTTTTTTTTTAATCCATACAGACTCGATGTAGATCGGAGAAGAGCAAAGTACTGTTATTATCACGCCTGAGCTAAACAGTCATTCCACGTGCCAATTCTAGGTTGCCAGTTACTTTTACTTTATTTTTTTAGTTTTTTTTTGTTTGTTTGATTGATTTTTGTTGTTTTTTTATGCGTTTTACAGTTTTAAGTCTGATAATCCGTCCTGCTCTCAAGGTATTACCGAAACTTTCTTCACTTTTTCCATGAAAGGGAAGTCGCATTCGGTCGAATATAAATTATAGGCCACCCCTTTTGTTCCGACAGATGGTCCACGAATAAACTCCTTACTTCTGCTTCTACCTCCTTGCAAATCAGATGGTAATGTGTTGTCTTTATCACTATTCGCAAAGTAACAAGTCATTTCTAGAAGGCAAAGTAACTTAAACTCTCTCGACGGTTTTATTGATAATCATGTGGTTTAACAGCGTTGCTTACTTAATCACGATTACAATCTCATTGTCCATACATCTTTAAGCCTCTCTGTTGTTTGTTTGTCACAAACGTTTTCACCTTGTTTCAGGAATGTATGTTACTTTTCCAGAGACGGCTTCTAATCGGTGCTACAAAATTTTTCTAAAACCTGATCTTTTTTTCATTGTAAGCAAAAGCAATACATGAAATTTTATTTGACGAGAGAGAAGATTAAAATAGACCAGTATAATGGAACTCGGAAACATGCAAGAAAAAGAACCTCAACCGTCTCCTACCAACATATTGTGTATACATGTTGCAAATGCTAAATGCTAAAGCAACTTCTAAGTAAAACAAGAGATAATTACGTGTCTAGGTATCTTTGTATTCAGCGAGTGTTTTTTTTTTCCAATTTTACCGTAGTCTTTACGATCCTGTGGAGTAACTGAACTTTTTTTTCTGTTTAGTTTTGCTGTCTTTTCTCGCTTTCTGCTTATTCCAGCTCGAAACTACAAATCTAAGTGCTACATAGAATATTTATAATTATATTTAAGTTAAGTCACTGCCTGTGTCATATCAAGTGGTTTTACTGCTCTGGTTTAGCTGGGACGTTCTTGCTCTCATCATCCTCACCCATTGTGTCTCGGTATTCTTTAGCTTCCTCAAATGTTTCTTTAGAGAGAGCAGATGGTTCATCTGGAGCGATCTTACGTTCCTCTTCTTCTTCTTCCTTTTCTTCTTCTTCTTCTTCTTCTTCTTCTTCTTCTTCTTCTTCTTCTTCTTCTTCTTCCTTTTCTTCTTCTTCTTCTTCTTCTTCTTCCTTTTCTTCTTCTTCTTCTTCTTCTTCTTCTTCTTCTTCTTCTTCTTCTTCTTCCTTTTCTTTTTCTTCTTCTTCTTTTTCTTCTTCTTTCTCTTTTTCTTCTCTCTTGTTGTCTTCGTGTTCAATAGCTTCTTCGCTGGTTTCCTTCAAAGGAGTTGGTGGTTTGGTTTTAAATTCAACGGCCTCTTTTTCTTCTTCACCCTCAAAGGAAGTTGATGGTTGTTCTGTGGAAGCTGCCTGTTGTCCTTCCTTGTCCTGTTCAGAATCCTGCTTTTGTTCTGATTTGAAACAGAAGGAAACAAAACCTTGATATTTGTTAATCGGTAAGTTGATTGATTAGTCAATCGGTAAGACAATTGGTTAATTTGGTATTGAAAACGTAATTTGGAGTTGAAAAAATATAAGTAGTTGAACTAAAAAACTACAAAGGTGGCTTTGGCGTAAATTAAAAAGACAAAAATTAAGAAGTGGTGATGACTTATGAACCGCTTTAAAACTGATTTGGTACAAGGAAAACTTTACCTTGTCCATAAGTCATAGTTTGGACTGCATTATCTCGTGGTCCTTTGTATGGATGAACTGAAATGGATAAAAACAGATTAAGATTAATTTTCTCGTTAGCAATCAATGTATTAGCTCCGAATGAAAATATTGATGACATTAAGATTTCCTTTCCATGACAGAGATGAACAAAGTGAGCATCCAAGCACCTCTTTCTTGGGAAAAATGATGACCCCTCAGATCTTTTCTTGATAGAAGTCTTAGCGCAATGCTTTCGGGGTCCTCTCAGGTTCGTTTCGTTTAACTCTCTGTAGGTTTTACCACTAATACTTACTATTTTCTGAAAGAGCATTCAAGGCTATGTCCTTTGATACAGACTCTCAGAGAACGACTCACCTTCCACAACAACCATTTGCAAATTTCCTCCATTGCCCTCATCTTCGTCTTTTTCTGCTTGAACAACAAAATGGTATCAAATTATCCAACAGAAATATTCTTAAATGTTCACAGTACATTATCCCTTATCCAACGCTAGTTGAAAAAATTTATATTCACGATCGAGTGTGACATGTGTCACAATAAGCAGTCTAACAAAAATAAAATTTCTTTAAAAAAGCACCTTCTCCGCCAATCAACAAATGTACTTCTTCTTCTTGAGCTGCAAATATCGAACACAACAAATAAGTGACATCTACTTCAGGATAACAGTTAAACTTTGTGTGTTTATTTCATAGCTGTTCCAACACATTTAAGTTAGGCTAAGGTAAAGTCATATTCATTCTCTACCCTATTGGCCCACGAGGCGGCGAAGTTGTTCCGGGTTTCCTTTGCATGCAACAATCATTCTGATTCATCGCAGGTCACCCGCCTTTCCCCCCTTATTAAAATATTCGTCGAGTTTTGTTAATTAAAAAAGCAAAAAAAAATTGTGAATTATGGCAAAAAAATTAAACTGATCAACAGACAAAACCTTTTTGGGAACTCCACGTTAAAAGATCAAATGAGGCATATCCATCTTTTTAATCTAAGTACTTCATTGCGATAATAAAGACAATGTTGGGTCTTGTTTGTTGTAATACCTGCTTCAGCCGGCAGCACGTGTTCTTCCTCGCTAACTTGGCCTGCACCTAACAGAAAATGAATCAGTTGTTTCTATTTCTTTATTGTTTTTGCAACTCATTAATGGGAGTTCTTCTTCAAGTTCTTCCAATATCTTTAAGGAAAAAACAGATAAAGGTGTTACCACCTAGTTTGAGTTGGTTACCAGTGGTTTCGTACCGGCTCACGGTCGTTTCATACCCGGTCGATTCGTATCCAGTCAGTTGAGTTGTTTAGTACCCAGCTCGGTCGTTTCGTACCAATACTAATAAAGTATACTGTTAATGTCAAGTATGTTTAAAGTGAGGTCTCTTATTTTAAATAGCGATACAACTTGTGCAAAACAAGTTTTGTTAATGTGGCATCCATTCTTACTACACGACCGCCAAAGGTATATTGAATAAATAAATAAAGCTATAAAGAAAATTAAAGAACAAAAAGTTTTCTTTTTGGTCCTTCATCCATTATTTTGACATAAATCAGCTTCCTAACTAATGTATCTTGTATTCATAGATTATTCTTTTTGGTTTGTCGGGATAAATGCCAAAGATCAATTTAACAGAAGTTACCTTGCTCTGGATCTGCTTGTCCAAGTTGCACCATTTCCACCATTTCAAGCATTCCATCGTCTCCCTGTTCCTGATCTACCGTGACCAATCAACATACATGTACAATAAATATTCATATTTATACATGTATACGTGTGAACATATATATATATATATATATATATATATGTATGCTCATATACTCTAACATGCTGTGAATACTCTAAAAGTGACCTTGGATAAGTTCTTATTATATTTACTGAGCTTTTCCATTGATGCGATAATGTGAAAAATAATGGCAATTGAACTGAGTGGAGTACAATTTGGGCTGAAATCATAAGTGTGATTTCAAAATCAACCGAGCACATAGCGCGAGTTCGATTTGAAATCACAAGTATGATTTCAGACCAAAATTGCACGGCACAAGGTTCAATTACCACTTTATTACATCCATTTTGAAAAACAAGAGTTTTGGAAACAAAGGTTGCAAAATTTGCCACATGATACTCTTCGTCTTTCATTTTCCTGCAATTAGATTGGTTACTTTATACAAGCCTTGAAATCTGATTGGTTGTTTTGTTTTCAGCATAGCCTCCTCATTGGCCGGGAAAATGATGCGATTTAAAGCAAGAAATGGTGCACCAATCAGAGCTAATCAAATTACAAGGACCACCAGTGATTTCAAAATGGATGTAATCAAGTTTCTAATTCCATTAATTGCACTGAGCCATATTATTTTCAGGCAAACTGATATGAGCTTTTCTTTCTTATCACAAAAATATGATACCTCCCACCTATGTAGTGACTTAACAGTGACTAAAGAAAATGGTAAACCTTACCTTGATGATCTTGTTGTTTTTTACAGCAAGAGAAAAAGCTGCGCACATGGTTCATCAAAATTCGCAGTTTAGGTCGCAATATGCCCTGCACCTATTAGGGGAATGAAAAGTGAATATTTCATTAAATCTGTATAAATTAAGATAGAATATGATAGAGAGTTTACAAATGTAACTTTCATAAACAGTGATAAAGCTTATCATACAATTTAAACACAAGGAGAGCCGATTGCTAGAATAAGCCTGTTAAGTTGCATGGCCTTTTATCGAGTTCTGATATTTTCCAAATGCCTCAACATGAACTATGAGAAACTGTTCAAGTAGCTTTCAGAAATTTCATGGGCAGATATTTGTAATAATATTTTTCAAGGAGCGGGAAATTTTTGTGTGAAACAAATCATTTTGAAATTCAATGTCACAGCCGTGTTCATTTGCAATCGCAACATTTGATAAGCTACCTACTTCTTTCTTTTATGAAAAAATTCTTCCACCGGACGATAATTCCACGATAAGGTTTTTCCCTAGGAAGCCTACGAAGTATATCTTTCATTACCACTTTTAAGCATTCCGCGAGAATACGTAATTAACGCATAAACACGGTGGAGTAATACGTCATTGCACTTTACTAATTTACGTCCCTGACATACCTGAGGGGTTGATAGGGTGTAGATAATTGGATTCAAGGCTGAGTTAATTGGCAGCACAAACACGGCGATCCAGGCAGGAAGATCTCCTCGGGGACTGTAATCTTTTTCAACCAAAGACCTGATGCCCATGACTATTATCGGCATCCAGCAAGCGCAATCTGTGAGGATGATAAAGAAGACTCTTTTGGCCAATGCTCTCTCCCTTCTGGAACTTGCGTTCTTCTTTCTTGCCTGCACCTCTCGTCGGGTTCCCTCCCTTGCAAGCTGACGGCTGGAGCGATAACTTTTAAGGAAAATTGCGACATAGGCCACCGTCATGAACAGGAAGAGGAGGAAGTTTAACCCGACAAAGATAGCGATGGAGAACTCCCAACCAGCTGGAAACCTGTTGGACAGCTGCAGTGGGAGGCACACAACGGAACGTCCGTAGTAGGCAGGGCGCTCTAGGGCGTCATAAAAGTAGCCAATGCCACTGAGGGAAGGAATGCGATGACAAAACTAAGGACCCAAATAATCGCGCACAGAATGTGTGCCTTCCTGCGAGTCAGCCCTCTACCATGGTATGGGAAAACGATGTTCTTCAGCCTGTCAGCAGAGATGAGCGCCAGTACCATTACAGACACCTCACTGGACAGCACTGAGATCGCACCTGTAACCTGACACGACAAACCGGATCGCCACTGGAAGTCATGCAGATAGTAACTTCCCGACCATAACAGGTCTTTGGCACCTAAGGTGACCAAGTAAACGCCCATCAAGCAATCCCCAACTGCTAAGTGCATTAACATGATAAGCTGGACTACGTTTCTCTCTTTAAAGATTAGACGCCACACAATTACGAACACAGCACCAAGCAAAGAAAGGATTCCGATTGCCCAAATACTTTTACGTGGAGCTGAGTCGCGGAACATGCTCTCGCAACTGGCGAAGCTGTCGTCGTATAAAGCAGTGCATTGGGCGTCTTCTTTGGTCAGATGACAACACATAAGACTGGTGTCCACTATCCTATAATCCATAATGTAGAGGGCAAATACAGTGAGGATAAAAACGCAAAAGATATGTTGTCACTCACACTGAAAGGTCATGATCAAAATATGGGGTATAATTTATTTTCCAGGTTGCTGTTGGCTCAATCTAGGGATAGTGAATCGAATGGTCTTTGAGGCACCAAACTTTCCGCTGATTTTGAAGCTAAGTGAGGTAGGCTGCGATTATATGGGGCCTCAAAAAAGGAAAAAGGAAACCATATAATTGCAAAAGATTGTAACTTCAACAACAATCTCTGTATAGCTACAAGTTTTCAGTAGGTTAAACTGACCTAAACCAGCTAAATATTTGCGGAGTCGGTATTGCAGGAAACTTGAAACATAATGTAATATAATATTGTACGTTTCACTGACCATTAAAAAAAACTTACACTTTCATGATGTCCTTCATTCCATCGAAAAACCCATTAGGAAGCTCAGACATTTCGTTATTTTGCATATTCCTAAAAATAAAAAAGGCTACCATCGATAAATAGGTATGGATAAGAAATTGAAACTAAACCGTGATGTCAAAACGTGTGCCCCCTTGTTGCGTGTTTAAATTATGTTTAAACGCCGTGAAGATTCATCCTTTTTTATAGCCCAACGTCTCCGGATTCCAGTCTAAATCGATCTCGGAACAAACCATGAGGTTTTTGTAAACTGGCGATCCCAATTTCTTTAAAGGTGCCTCTCGCTCTGTGCTAGCAATAAATACCTATAATCTTTTCTCAAAAATAAGCCAGTTAAGTTTTTTTACTGTACCATTGTACCAGCGACACATTAACTGCAGTAGGATAAAATTCGCTAGAATTCAAGCAGTTTAGTCGTTAACTCTTTCATTCCCAAGATCACATTAATCATTCTGCCTTCCATTCAGTCATTCTATTGTTAGTTTGGAGAATTTGGTGCAGGATCAACAAATAATCCCCTAACTGATGTGTTCCCTATTCTCATCACTTTTCTCTTTGATATTGTATTAATATTGTAGGGAGAAATGCTTTCTTGGTCACTCGTTGGAGTTAAAGGGTTAAAAAAGTATTTTCAGGATCCTCTTGTAAGTTAAACGACAACAAATAAACAGAGTAAATACGGTTTCTCTGTATTTTTGATGCAAAATATATAAAGCTAGCGCTAGAACATCATGTTCCTATCTCATGATTTTCAATTTAAAAGTGTGTTTATTTACAGGAAGTCATTGTTATAAACCAATTTTCATTTTTAGTAAGCCCAGTAGGATCCAGTGGGCTTTAAGATATAATGTGGTGGTCTAATGATGAATTCATCAGTGGGTATATGCTCACAAAATAACCAAATTTGGAAGGTCCTTAAAGTTTTCGTTGGTGACACCGGGAATCTTGTTATCAGAAATAGTGCTGTGGAGAAAAAAAAATCGGCGTTACGAAGTAAAAAGTCACAGCTGTAATATCCACCATAATATGAGGTAAAGGCAACTGCTCACGGGAAAGTCTTATGTGGTGTGATGTTTTGTGGATCATTTGTTATGATGTGAATTAATAAAGAGTGCTTTTGCAGGGTATGACTGGAATGTTGAGGTATTGTGTGGTGCAGTATGACATGGTAAAGTGTGATGTGATGTGCCATGGTGTTCTTTTTGATGATACAGTGTGCTCTGGTGTTATATGACATGGAAAAGTGTGGTATGATGTGCTGCAGTGTGCGTTTTCATGATATGGCGTGCTGTGGTGTGGTATGACATAGTAAAGTGTGATGCGATGTGATGCGATGTGTTATAGTGTTCTTTTTTATGATGACGTGTGGTACTGTATGAGATAGTAAGGTGTGTCTTTTGTTGAGGGTTTCAGAAATTATAAAGTTTGAGCAATGTTGTAGGTTTCAAAATGATGCGATGTGCTGTAATTCAATGGGGAAAAGTGTGGATATGAGATGGTTTATGTGGTCCTTAGTAATCTACATGTAGTGTGGTCTGCAATGTCAAAGTATGATTTGGCATCGTATAGCATCGTATGATATGGAGTGCTTCTTGAGATAGTAAGGTATGTCTTTCGTTGAGGGTTTCAGAAATTATAAAGTTTGAGCAGTATTGAAGGTTTCAAAATGATATGATGTGCTGTGATTCAATGGGGAAAAGTGTGGCCGTGAGATGGTTTATGTGATCCTCAGTAATCTACATGTGGTATGGTTGGTAATGTCATAGTATGATATGGCATCGGATGATATGGAGTGCTTCTTAAGCATAAAAAAAAAGAAAAATCCATCGGGTGATTTTTGCAAATGTTGTACTTACAGAACCTGAAGTTTTCTCGTGCCGCTGAAAATCCCTTTGGGTAAATTCTCGATGTTATTTTCGGACAGATACCTTAAATGTAAATTATGTTTTAGATAAATGCCCAAATTTTTTTTATTGGACTGGCTAGGCAAACGAATAAATGTTTATCTGTTAGAGGCATGACTTTGCACCACGGGTACGAGATGTAAACACGTGCATCAACAGGGAAACTAAATGGTAGCTACAAAGTAATAGTTACAGAGCATGAAAAGACACAAAACTTGCGGATTACAAAAGTTATTCAAAGTAAACCCTGGTATATCGAGCTACTGAAGCAAACAAGATATCGTGGATCTAGAGTCAGCTGATAGTGTGATAGTAGTATCACAGACAACTCCCCGTCGTCTCGATCAGTTTTTCACCCGCGTTATCCCTTAGACTGTTTTCAAAGTAGCATATTCCAACGATATTATTTAGTACAAATGGGAGCAATTCAGTTTTGCCAGGCCCTTGATGGAGTTGTCTTTATTTTTTTTATAACAAAGAATCCGTCAAATTTCCCACGCATTACTTACTATTTTCAAAACAAATTGTAGTTTTAGAAGCAAGCAAAAGCGCCGTCAGCATGTTCTATACTCTCATGAATCAAGTTAGAATAAGCCAAATCAATAAAGTTTCAGAATCCTTGTTAGAATGGTTCAAATGATCTGATTGGTTGAATAAGACCAAAGCTGTCAAAAATGAATGTCAAACAATCAAAGTTTACAACCATCAAAGTGCACAATCTGTATTAGTTCACAAACTGAAATAGTACGTTCGGCAGGTCGAATTTAACATTGTTTCCAGAAGTTTTTCAGTTTTATAACAGAATCTTAAATTGAAATGTGCATTTAAATCCGATCTAATTGTGGCTCATAAAGACACGCATTTTTTTTTTCATATGGCAACTATAAAACAAACTCCTGAAGTTGGATGTTTACTGAATGAACGACAGCCGAATTTACAGTTAGCCGCGATTGACCTCATCATGATCGCAGTCGCTCTGACACCGTCATGATTTACATGAATTTTAACAGTTATGCCAGTTTGGTTATGTTTTTCATGATTCCTGCTTGTTTCTATTTTGTTTTTGAACACGAAACTATATATGCTATACGAGTGTTATCTATGTTTGATTTTTATTGCCGTAAGAAAGCTCACAATCTCACTGGGAGTGAAAACCTTCGAAACCCGGACTGCCCATTTCATTTTCTCTTTGAGGATTTTCGTCTCTGCTCACGTTTTTTAATAACATCAATCACGGCGCATGGCATGTTTACAAACAAATAGTAAACATTGGCAGATAGCGTGACAGCTTTAGCTCAGCTCCGTGTTTTGTACTCTGTTAGAACACGTTCTTTCAATCAAAGACAGCGCGCGATAGCAAGATTAAAAAATGGATCCACTTTCATATAGAAACTGAATCCAAGGAATAGTTTTACTATGCATATTTTTAAATTAGAGGACTTATTTAGGTTCGATAATGCTTTCGCGGATAACAATATGTCATTATTAAAGTAAGTGATATCTTTGAACCCAATCACAAAACTTACAGCCCGTTTAAGTTGACCAGAGTACGAAGCAAATCCCTGGGGAGGCTCTTAAGCTTGTTCTTGTCCAGTTTTCTGTGGCATATAATAAGTCAATGAAAATGCGACGAAGAAAGCTTTGGAGCACTGTGAAACATAGCATATCTCTTCAAAAATACATTTTGTGACGTCGGCGAAAACACTATTCATGGGACATTGGGTGTAGTGCTTGATGACTTACATATTTAACAGCTTGGAGAGGTTGGCAAAAATATTTCCGAGTAGTTCCTCGAGTTGATTACCTGACAAAATCCTATGGAAAACAGGGATAGCGTAAAAGAAACTAGATACCAAGTTGAAAGTTAAGTCTAGTTTCGCTATCAACCGTTTCAGGAGGATCGAGGACTAACCTGTTGCTTATTGATTACATAGCTACTTCCGATACTTGTTTCTTCCAATCAATACGATTGCTTAAATCTGCTTTAACACTTTGCCTGAGGTAATTCCTCAGTTTTGCCCTGTGCATCCTGTATTGCGCATAAAAATCACGTAATCAGAGGAATGAGCGCCCACACGGTATTGTTTTTAATCTATGGATCAGGAAAAGAGGTACGATGGTCTTTAGCTCTTGAACGAGCACGGTGACCTATATATATACATATATATATATATATATATTTTTTTTTTTTTGCATAATTTTGGTGAAAAATTTTTCCACTTTAAATTGGGGAAATTAAAAAAAAATTATTCCTTAAGAAAAAAAAGATAAGGCTAAAAGCGTGCACGAAGCCCATTACTCGAGGATGCAAATTATAACCTTGAAAGGAACGACTCGAGGAACATGTTCAAATTTGCGTGATTTTCCCGAAATTACATATCAGTTGTGCCATGCGCTGGACACTTTCTACCAATCAAGATTTTTTTAAAAACCCAGTGCAGTAAAACGTACCGTTAACCGATGAAATGACGCGCGTGATTAGTACCAGTACAGGTATAAGTGGGGTAAGTTTGGCTTATCATCCAAAACAAGCATGGTGACCTATCCCTTTTATTGTAATTTCGAAAGAGACATTGGTAAGGAACGTTTAAGAAAAGTTTAAAAAATTACTTGTATGTTCGGTTACTTTTTTTCTCTGAGGAATCACCTTAATCGACAACAAAAACCTCTGCTTCATCCTTTACAAAAATATAATTACCACGTATTACGGTATTAGTTTTTATCAGAAAGGTTGTATTTGAACTAAGCAAGTGAAAGGATGAATAAATTAATAAATAAATAAATAAGAAAGTGAGAGAGCAACAGCTAAATGAAAGAATGAACGAAGAAATAATGAAACTAAATGGTAAATTTAGAATTTTTGTTTCAAAATTTTGTGCATTAGAAACTACTTTATATCTGATTTGTTCTTTTTTAGCAGTTTTCTTCATCAATTTGTTTCTCTTGATATTTAAATTTTAAGTCTTGATGAACTTAAGGTTTCATATACATTTATTAGAACTTAGGTACTATCTAATAACACCAGCAGATCTTTATTCTTCTTGCATGTTCTTTGTTGAAATTTATATTTTTGAACATTTGCTTTAATTATCTTTTTTTTTCCCAATCCTGGTCTCCATGTTAATGAAAGCGCTTGCCTTGTAGCTTATTTAGAAAATTGTTGGTTGGAAAGGTGAGTGACATCAACATTATTAATTAAGATTTAGCACTTCTGAGTTTTATATTTGAAGGAAGGATGTTTAAATCATTCTCCAAAACTAAGGAATTCTTATATGTAATTCATCACTTACAGATGTTCAAGCTTCTTTAAACCTCGGAAAAGTCCTTGGGGCAGATTTTTAATTTCGTTGTTTGACAGATCCCTGAAAGCAATCGTTTATTTCATGAATCGCAACAGAAACAGATCCTGCTTAGCCCGGGGAATAGTGAAATCAAGTGCTCTTTGTCTAATGGGTAAGACTGATTACTTTCGAGGCCAAGCAAGAAAGCAGACGTTTGCATTACTTTTGGTCATTGCTTTGACCTGGATACGTTTAGGAATTGATAAGTTAAGAGGCAAAAAGAAAACCCATGCTCGTTATGGCTAAGAAGGTAACGAAACTTGACCTGCCAGCCCCCAAAGTTACTGTTAGTAAATACGTTGTTGATGATATTCAAACTGGGCACTGGGCTCTTTTACATTTGCAACAGGGTTTGGAGAGGTAGAGGGGGGAGGGCTTCAGAAGCTCACGCTTCCCCCCCCCCCCCCCCCTTCACTGCACTAAACATATTGATAGTTTCCTAACATCTGAGTGTAGATTGATTTGCTTTAATGCGTATTTCATCATGATTTTTTCCAAATTTTAAGGAAATAAAACCGAAAAACTAAGCCTTTTTCTTAAGTCAGAATGGCATGTTACAATATTTGCAGTGTACATATTTGTTCATGGTGTTATTTAAGAATAACAATTTTATTTCCCCTTTCCATTTTCAGTCAGTCTAACTTGACAAATAACGACTTCTCAGGAGGTAGAAATATAAGATCAAAGGGCTTTTAGATTTAATCTTCAACGCATTCACTCACGTGTCATTCAAACTGATTAAATCTGTGAACAGTTCTGGGGTTAGCTTCTTCAGTTTGTTGTTACGCAACCACCTATAAGAGTGGCAATAGAATCAATGGATATCCAGACAGATAAACACACTGAAACGAGAAGCGGGGAAAACGGAGGGAGAGATATGCGGAAAGACAGTATAAAAATAGAAAAAACAATCTAGATAAAGGTTAAGAATGGACTAACAGAGGGTAACGACAGAAAGACTTAAAAAAAATTGGGTAAAGGTTATAGATGATTTAACGAGCTGGTTTGCAGCCTTTACCATCATTTGGAATGATTAATGAGAAGTATAAAAGTCTGATCATAGAACAGCCTTTGCAAGCTGGCTTGTCGTAAATTGTAATTGCCCTATTAGTCTTCTTGCCCTGCGGTGAAAAATCGTTAACGTCTGTCGTCAGGATTTGCTTTTACAAGTTGAAATCCCATGCCAGAAAGTTCCTTTAATCATAACGTTATTAGAATCTTAAAAAGATCTCACTTACAGCCTTGTTAAATTCTTCATTCCTCGAAACAGGTTATCAGTTAATTCGTTGAGATAGTTGTCGGACAACTCTCTGCATTGTTCATAGAAATAAAACAGAAAACAAAAATAATGGTACCATAAATGTCTTAAACCTGTGAGTAACATTTGATTATGTATTCTGATCGTCCGGGTGAGGGAAGTGGTGAATGACGCTTGCACAACCTCAGCAGAAGTCTTCATTAGAGACTAGTGAAGAGTTGTTGTCAGTCGAGCTGTTTATAGTCCGGTTCGTGCATACTGATTGGTCAGTTTTCCCATGGTGTTATTGTCTGCAAGACTCGAGTACCCGTTAGTCGGTCGTAGTTGGTCGGTCCCGATCCGTCGATCCGTCGTTAAAGGTCGTTCTCTTCGGTTCTATTTGTCTGCAAATACCGTGAATAAGACGTTTGTATGATATTGGCAGTTTTAGGCATCTGTTGAGGGAAGTCTGTTCTAAGGTAGCAAGTAATTTAGTGTTAACAACTGGGTTGAAAACGTAAATTAGCCACCGTAAAGGGTAAAAAAGCTGACGTTTCGAGCGTTAGCCCTTCGTCAGAGCGATAGATTTGCTGGCCAGAATCTGTTGTCGTAAGTAGTTGGAGCTGTAGGTCAGGAATTACGTAGAGTCCCAGTTGACAGTGTTTTCATAGAGTGAATAATGTTCAGCGATGTGAATTTTGACGTCACCGATTATTGCCTCTCGTTTGTGTCCAGTCATGCGGTTGTCTTTGAAGTTTTTCCGATAAAGGATATTTGCAGTATGAGCAGTTGATCTTATAAAAGCTCCCTGTCTGTTTTCTGGCTTGTCCTTGTCTCTGACTTTAGTTAGGAACTAATGTAGCGTAGATATCTGTAGGCGACGCAAGTAAGACCTTCACTCTTTCTTTCTCTTCATTTCTTCTGCATTCGCACCTCGCGAGGCTGCACGGCTATTTGGCCTTACTCAAGTCGTCGCTACAGCCCTTATATGGGGATTTTTGTCTTATGTTCTTAATTAAAAGGCCGCAGGGCCGCAAGGACTATCAACGCTAACTGCTAACTAACCCAACGTGAAACTAGCTGGAAGTAATCAAGAGGGAAATAAACAGGTCAATGTAAATCACGAAAAAATTCAAACTTCTTTGCCGGGATATCTAGAGGAAAATAAGTTCCCCGTAAATCGAGTGAACTCAGCTTTAGTCGTTCAAGCACTGACTGACGCACTTTTCCTTACTTAGAAGAGAGGAAAAAATAAAGAAAATCTATATGGAATGATTGTCTGAATCTAGGACCTTTTTTTTATATTCACCTCCGGTCTAATATATCGATCGCTGTTGAGTACTATACAGCTTCAGTAACTATGAAGAGTAATTCGTTTTCTACTTACAGCCACTCTAGGTTTTTATTTTCTTTGAAAACAATCGGTGGCAGTTGACTGAGCTGGTTAAGGGACAAGGACCTGTAAAATATTTTTTAAAAGTTACCCCATACCTTAAATGGTTAAGTTTTAAGGTGCACAATAAAGAATTGGAAAATTAGTTCGGATATATCAGTTCTCTGATCTTTAGAATTCATAATAGCGAAAAAAGTGTTATCATATTCTTGGTAAGCACAGTTCGTTTAGATCTTTATGAGACGTTTGCATGAGAACGTTAGCATTGATGAAAAAGTTTTCAACTGAAAATTTGCGAGTTATAGGTACTTACAGCTTTCTCAGGGAGGTAAGGTTACCAAATATCGTAGAAGGAAGGCTCTGCAGTTTGTTGGCGTGTAACCACCTGCAGTTAATTTATGTGGAAATAAGCTTCTACCATCCTAAATTTGAATCCTCATTTTAGCTTTCCTGTCTTTGTAATACGATGTCCAAATATCCATTTAAATTATAAAAAAAACCCGCGTAGAAAGTGAATGTTGTAGGAAATACTAAAGAAACATCCTGCATGGTAATTTCTTTACGAGTAATTTGTTTATGAGTCATTGTATCACTGAGAGAGAAAGATGGCGATGGGTGCCATAAAACTCGACAAATGCAAATTCGTAAAAGATTTGAAGAAAGTCCTCGGTAAAAATTGCCAATTAGTTGGCATGAATAATATTAGGATGTATGTTGCGCGAGAGAACACTCTCTAATCTACAAAGCTAACTAAATATGTTTTCAGGTCTTCATTTTTTGATATATGATCAAGGGGGAGAATTTGAAAATTGCCTCCATCGGGAGCTCGAGCTATGCGGCGTGGAACATTCTCATACCACCCCACATCACCCCCAAGGGAACGGTCAAGTTGAGCGCTTCAACCGGACACTTTTGTGAATGCTCCGTATCTTGCCAGAGACCCAGAAATCACGTTGGGCAGAACACTTGAACCATGTGGTACACGCTTATAACTGCACGAAACACGAATCAACTGGCTACTCACCGTTCTTCCTCCCCTTCCGTTGCCACCCCCGTTTACCGGTAGACTTAATTTTTGGAACCGAAGATGAAACCAACCTCGTGAACCACTCATAATATGCCGAAAAGTGGCGAAAAGCAAAGACAGAGGCATACAAATTAGCAGGAAAGACGTCCAGTGAAGCAGGCACACGAGCTAAACAACGTTATGACCTGCCTGGTGATAGAGTTCTTGTACGCAATCTCAGAGAACGGGGTAGACCGGGGAAGCTGCGCTCGCATTGGGAGGATCAGATTCACATAGTCATTAGCCGTAAGGGAGAAGATAGCCCTGTGTATGAAGTCAAGCCCGAAGCTGGCACTGGGGGGAACAGAACCCTACATGGGAACTTGCTATTGCCATGCAATAATCTTCTCATTAACAGCCCAAACGAAACTAGCCAGAAGAGAGAAAGAAGAGTCCGGAAGGATAAGCGTAGCACTGCTAGTCAGATACCTGTACCACAGGCAGAAGACTTGGCAGATGATACCTGTAGTAATGATGAGTATACAATCGCCCCAAGGAACCCCTACACTGGGCAGACCTTAAAAGAAGCGGTTACTGAGGAGCTCGTCAAACCTTCAGTTGAAGAGAAACAGCCTAAACAACACAGTCAGAGGATGCAATATCGGGCAACGCCCATCAAGGGAAAGTAATCGGCGATCGCACTGTTTTGGAGGAGACGGAAGAAACCGGATCAGAGAGCGGAAATGGACAAGATACTCTAACCCAGGATAACAACAGCCCACCAGACAGTCCCGAACTGGAACCTAGGCCTAAACGACAGAGACATCCACCAACAGTTCTGACGTACAACACACTTGGCAATCCCAAATATGAGACCCAAGCTGCTGTACACGTCATAGCCGCCAACAGTGTTTCTGGAAGTCAATTACCTCAGTGCGGTACTCCTCATCTTCATTGGAGAACAGGTTTACCAACTGTACAGCAGTTCCAGCTACCCTCATAACCACCTTTGTCCCAGTATCCAGTAATCCTTGGATACCCGGGAACGTACCTGCAGTATCCATCCATGCCTAAACCTGTGCTCCACCTGTACAGCAGTTCCAGCTACACCCATACCCACCTTTGTCCTATTATCCAGTAATCCTTGGCTACCCAAGAACGTACCTGCAGTATCCATCCATGCCTAAACCTGTGTTCCAGCCAGTTAACCAGTTCCTTAACTCGCAGGTTTGAGTTAAGGAACCGGTTTGACAATAGAAAGAAGCAGTGAATTCAGTTTGTTTTAAGTTTTAAGAAAAGATTTAGAGTGAAAACAAATTAAGTAAGCGACCACAGCAAAATTTATAAGCGTTTTATTTGACCGAAGCTATAATTCCATTCGTTTTGTTGGATTTGACCGCCCTGTTTAGTCATTACTATATGCAAACACGGTCAAATTGATAGTTCGACAAAATTCTATTTTGCCAAACAAAGGTCGATAGAAAGCTGCCCTTTGGTACTTCCCAGTTCCGCAAACAAGGTGGAATACTCTCGTGTCCGCGATATTAGGTTTAAATCCGCTAAGAAAATGCAAGCTGACCTTGATGAAACGATAGAGAATCTCAATGAGGGACTTCAGGTTTCTGAGAACTCGGAAGTCTTCTCTGGAAGTTGCGTTCAAAAACCGGAGGTGCCAGCGCCGACGCAAGTGGAAATGGAAAGTTTGACCTCAGCAAATGCAAAACAAAGCCTGTGTTGCTGAGCTTGGTGCCCCCTGCTGATTCGACATCGAATGAAATGTCGATCATTTACCTTTACTCCTGGTTCATCAATTATTTGTTTTTTGGACTCGATTTCTTCCCGTAGCTGCCTTTCACGTTCTCCTGCGACTCGTTTCAGCTCACGACCTCTGGCTCTCTCGTCTCGCTTGGCGGCAACTTGAAGATAGGCTTGAAGCTTTTCGAAAGAAACACATTACTGATGACCTAGATTTTGGGTCGGAAGCAAATCTGGATCGTAACGATCCCACATTTTAGCCGCTTTTCCGGAGATAAAATGTTTACCACAGACCCTGCCGTGGAAAGTTTCCGTTTTTCCGTCGACTAGTGATAATTGAAGGTCGACTTTATCACGACCACTAATAAAAATTGAAAAAAGCATTTTTTATCATAAACAAAACTTCTGGTCATATGTTTACAGGCCAGTGATGTGCACCAATATGACGGCCAATTAAAATGAGATCACGTGACTGAAAGCGATCTATATTTAACGCACGATCGTGGACTAGCTGTTAACTATACGCACAACTATACGTAAATAAATGACGTGTGAGTTGTAACAGACTGCATCTTTACCGTCAGTTTAGCTGCCAGTTCCTTCTAACAAAATACTACAAACAGTTGGTCATGCGAGTTAAAAAAATAAAAACTAAATCATCCGGGTCTTCCAAATCGGTATTACTCTCCATAAAAATACCAGTGTTGTAGCCGCCCAAGGGAAGACCTTTGCCCCTCGAGCAACGCTTCTCTCGTGCTCTCCAAACCTTCTGCACAATTATATGCACAATTGCCATCAAAAATTTTGCCCATGAAGAAGGAGAATGTTGAATAAATATGTTGGATTTAGAGCAAACCTAAGAATCCATCAAACACAATGTTGAGGGAGGCATTTCAAGTGTATGTGGTTGTACAAGCTCCTCCAACATGATGTTGGACAAAACATAACTGATCAGGACTAGAGTATACAGTTGTGACTCAGACGTAACTATCTCTTATTTGGCTTAGCTCAGTGTTCACCTTTAATTCCTCAATTTCCATCATGTCGATGATCTTTAAAATAAAGAAATTTACATCCAGCTCCCAGGCAGAATAGAAGAGAGAGTCTCTGCCAGAACTCAAACCCGCACCTTTCTATCCCAGGTCCAACGCGCCAAACATTAGCCATAATAACGATTAGACCACAAGGTCACGCGTAAATATTCATTGATTTTAGCTTTCGTTTGCAATCAAGGAAAGATTTAAAATTGGCCCTGTTTCTGATTTTATCCAGCATTATGAATAACCGCATTATTCGTAGAGGCAAAGAGTGCAACCCACAATTTCTGCAGCCGAGTCAGTTTATCAGAAATGTTTGGTGGTAGTTCTTTTAACTGATTGCCCTTTAACCACATGTGATAAAGGATGTCAATGGCAGGTTACCAATGACAATGACATATGGTATTGAAACTTTTTCCATTTTCTCTCAGTATCATCATTTTTCCTAGCTAATTTGCACGAAGCATATTTTGCTATAACAGGACAAAGTTTCCTTCTACTGGAAAGCACTTTACATGTTTTATCTTTTCCTATGATCTGCTCACCCACTGTTTTCTAATGATACAATACTTTCTTTCTGTATAGCACGTTGGTTTTGTCGATGTCACGATTGCGTTTCTACCTAATTTATGCACAGCTCATTCAAGGTAATTTAGGGTAGACGTAAGAGCATTCATGACGATTACAACGAATAAAGGGAAATACAATTTTGTATTAAATATCTACCTAATTTATTTCATTGCATTGTTCATGTTACATTTAGCTGCTTCTGCTTCTACTCACTCTTTACTGTCTCTCAGTCGGTAGTAGCGACCAAGCACTATTCGGTAGCACGAGTTTGATTCCAGTCGCTGCACTAATATTTGTCAAGGCTTCTTTTTTGAAATTTCTATAGACGCACGGTCAACTTGCAAGGATCCTACAGTCAGTTATTTATCATCCATCGGTCAAAGTTTAATTCTTTTCATTTAATTGTGCGCAATGAATAGACCGCTCAGTGAATTCAGTCCTACATAAGGCTAAAAAAAGCAACCGACATGTTACTTTTCTTTGATGACACTGATCAGCTCTCACTCATAGGATCAATAATAAGTTTACTATACAATACTTAATAATTTTTAATAAGGTTAAAATTTAAAATGCTTATATAATGAGAGAGAAACAACAAAAAACGCCATACGAAACGTATCTGTCGAGCAATGTGGCAGCTTGTTTAACTAAAATGTTCATGTCCTTCAAATTTCACTTTTGAGTGTGTGTTGTTAATGAAATTGTTCGCGTAGCCTCTCTCTGACTTTCCCGGCCAGGTGTGTTCTGAACAAAGTTTTGTTTTGAAGACAAAACATGGCTTTCTTTATGTACTCAGCGCAATCACAGTTTAAAATTCAACGATTGAGTAGCATTAGAGAGGCACCTTATTAGCTGCTATTCAGAACTCAAAAAACAACCATTAAGTAACGCTAAGGGTTTGTTGAGGTTGCGGCTTACTCAAATCCTCAACAACTACAGGGGTAGCGCGGTGCGAGGTGACAATAATCCAAACTCCTCTTGGTAGATTTAAACTGATTTAATAACTGATCAAAAGTTCAATGGTCTAGATCAATCGGTTGCGTTTGAGATGAGGGCTCATGAAGATAACGAATATCGAAGATCGTTGACCTTAGTAGCAGTAGCAGTAGAAAAAATAGTAGTAGCTGTAGGTGCAAATTAAGTTGTAGGTTCGAACTGAAATACGATAAATAAATTAGAGTCTAACTTTGCATAGTTGCAACCGTCTCTAACCTATGGAGCCGTTTGTGTTTCTCAGGCCCTTGAATGAAGCAGTCCGGTAAACCAATTTTAGTTGGCAGTGTGGTAAGAAACGGATGCTTAGTTGCTCTTGCCGCAGCAGTTGTGTGTAACATACTGTTCACTGAATTCAGCACGTTTAAAAATGAGAAAAGAGTTCCTAGGTCAGTGATTTTAATTCAATATTTTGGTAAACGTTTGAACATTTACTGTAGGTGTATATTAAGTTGTAGGTTCTCTTTGAAACTCATATTTGTTTTACTCTACTAAGTTGTCCGATCACCGGGCGCGATCAATTTCTGTTCTACAGTTTTAATTACATAGGTAACCTTCTCTTATCTTAGTCAGATTTCCGGCCACAATTATCACAAGTTATTGTTCAAATTGGAGGAGATAACTTATCACTCAGTCGGAAAGTGCAAATGGCTTTAGTTAAGTTGGGGTAATCGTAATTACATGATACTTGAGGACTATAAATATTATGTAAGGTTTTCCATACATTCCGCCTGTTTGCAACCTATTCTACTGAAACGTGTCTCAAATTTTGCACTGTTGTTTTAATTAGAGAGCTTTGTCCTGGTTTGTGAAACCGAAAAAAAAGATTTAGTCTAGACTTTTCCAGTTCGTTGTGTGACCTGCGTTAATCTTTGCCATCCTTCACCTTTCCGGTTTTTTTCTGACCTCTTTAGTTTTTGGCTGCATTCATGAAGTACGGTATTATTTTAAGGTGTCCTTCTTCTACAGACAATACCCTTTAGCAATTTCGACTGCCAAAGAAATGAAATATTTGCTGAAGAGATTTTAGCCATCTGTTTATCTAAAGAAAATTGACAGGGGGAGTCACGATAAAAGGCAGCGCAGTGCCATTAGCTTTTCAAGAAATATATTGTTACATTGCCTAAAATATCATGATATAGCTAGCTGTTCTTTACCTGCTCTATACGACGACGACAGCGACGAAGACGTGGTTATTATTTGTAAATTGGCTATTATTTTTTTTTTGATTAAGATTTGAAATGTTTATGATAACTTTGGAAAAGAGAAATAACATAAACACTATACCAGAAGCATCTGCGATGAAGTTCACCTCCGAGCTAGCCAATGGTATATAGTAACACTGATTAGCTCAAATCATTAGTTTGCCGGTACGCATCGTGGGGCTGGAGATAGTTGCGAGACGCGGGGATGAGATCGTAATTTGTATCCTTCAGTCGCTAATAGGGTGAGGCATTCTACGTTCAGCCTTCGCCAAGTAAAACTGT